GTTTTACTGTATCTAATTTTCCAAATCGGTTCTTTTCTCCCCACTACCACTGTGGTTTACAGTATAAGATCGTAAGATCTGCTAAGCCGAATAACCTCGACAAGGTTTATTCATTTGCTGTTTTCGTTCATTGAAGCACCACGTTAAATTAGCTGGAAGCTTACCCTTAGTTTTGAGTTATTGGCATCGTTCATTGCCTAGAATTAATTACATTCGTAGATGCGACTTTCTTTCGTTAATCTTATACGCATCTCTGCGACTCAAAGGATTAGCCATCACTCTGTCCAAGCGGTACCGCCATAAACATGATACGAACTATTAGCTTGAACGGCGCTACAATAAACAGTGGTCGAAATCAAATTGCGGACCCAAAACAATTATTAAACGCACTAACCAATATCAGTCTGCAGGAAGGTTTTGACGAAAAAACGCGCCTATCGTACTGCAGTACATAATCTCCATCAGACTTTTGGATGTCTCATCAATGTCTCTTCATCTGTGTTATGGCAGCCTTACATTTAATCGAAATGCGTGTTACGCCTCATACTCATTACTGCACTGAATAGTCAACTATCAGGTGGATGAAGGCGAAGTGTAGCCCAACGAGTTTGCATTGTCTTCACCTAGTCCATTCTGGCGTGACCAGAAAGGAATTCCATGCTCTCTCGATTATTCGCTAGTCATGTACTTGCTCTTCGTTTCTTGGCTGGTTACTCCAAAGCAACGTAGGGTGAATTCCTTGACTAAGAAAATTCGCGATTAAGACAAAGGTTATCCCTTGAGGAGACTGGAACCCGGAAACTTCGGAGTTCAAAGCTGACCTCTTAGGTATTGCGTTACCACGCCATTAATCTTGTGAAACTAATTATATAAATTCGCCTGAAGAACGGAAAAGTTCTGAATGAATTTGTGATAGAACGTAGGATGCATGCTGACCTCTTCTGTTGTCTAAATGTTGTCGAATACTTATTAACCACTGTTAAATACTAACCTGTATAAACCGGCAACAGCGGTAGCTGTCGCTAGCGATAATCATATTACATACATCAGATATTGGCAAAATATTACCCAACATTGTCTCGATTACTTCATCTCCAACTGAGTGGTTTCAACAGCTCACGTTATTCAATTACCGTATATGGCTAAAAGTTCAGTTCAACAAGGAAACTCTTGCATGCAAATAATACAGTGGTTAAGTAATATTCCGTTAACAAAAGGGAGATAATTTAGATATTTGGGATCACCTGCACTGAGTGAGAAGGATGTGTCTAATAAAGATATTTAGGCAGAGTCGTAACTGGCGCGATATAGTGGCACAGTGCCTGAACACTCGGCTTTGAATTCGCAGATGCCGATTTCGAATCTAGCAGATATTTTTTTTCTTAACAGCGAATTCCTTTCAGCAAAGAATTAACCACAACTTGCTGCGGAGCGTCCCATCGATAAACAGGTAATGAACCGACGACTTGCAAATGATGCGGTCAGCATCGTATTCTAGTTTGGTCACTCCAGGTCAGTTTGTGGTTTCGCCTCGACCAATCTGATAGCTGACTACCCAGTGTAATAAACAGCACGAGCTGCAAACCCGATTTTGAGTCAGATCAAAGTGATCGAAGTGCTGACAATAGCCGGAATAGCGCTTAACGGCACGGATCACATTTGGTTGAAACCAAACGGTTATAACATCGTCATGCGATCAGTAAGGATGTGGGATGCCAATTTTGAATTGGCGATGCAAGTTATAAGTCATGACAGAAATTTAGATGCCGATTTAAATTGTAATGATTGTTAAATCTGAGTGAGTGAAAAAGAATAAACGATAACAGAAACTGGATTATTCTGAATTTAGCTGGTTAAGCGAAAATCGACTCAGCTTGCTAAGAAACAAACCTCAGGAAGGGTCATGTCATATCGAAATAAATATAGTGCGTGTAGAATATCTGAAAAGATGACAGATATCATCAGCACAATCGACTGACGTGGAGAAACAGGAATTTCTCGGGAGATGGCACTGAACATGCATGAATGGCAAAAAGTAAGAATCAGGAAGACAAGTGCAACATGAATGAAGACAAGTGACTCATTAACCAGCAGATAGGTTGTTGCTGCTGGAAATTCATAAAACGTATTTAATTAAGTCAATCTAATGTCGATCGCTTTACTTCTCTTCCTTTAAACACTTTGAATTCTTCAATTGAAAAAAAGACGCTAGGGAAGTCCGACATTCCAAAGGGTTGGAAGCTTTCCTTTCTTAAAGTAACTGTTACCACGTGGAAAAGAGACAAGAGACTATGCGCTATGGTGGTTGCAGATTTTACCATCAAAATAAACCACTCCTTACTGATGGCATTGGAACAGAGGCAAGCGCCACACATTATAAAATTATGCCAAAAATGGTGCCTTCATAAACGTTTTGCGGAGATCAGTGTTACAACAATTAGAGACTTTTCTTCTTAATCGAATATCCTTTACCTGTATGAAACTGCCAAGCGATGTCGAGTGTAATACAAGTTTAACCAAAATAACGAAATATCAGTGGGTCATAATTTCACTGCTTTTTCGTTTACCCTTGCGGTAGCTGCTACATGCAATGCTATCTATGAATTCAGCCTCGCGTCTGTATGATACAGAAGGGTTACATTAAAAGTGAAAACGTTTGTTCATAATCTACTTATCTTCTACGGTCAAAATAATTATTTGTAACATATCGCAAAGGCCAGCTGCATCCCCAACAGCTTTAAAAAATGTTTTCAAGGCAGTCCGGTGAGAAAATCAGAACCTGAATATAATTGAATCACCAAAGGTTTGCTGACTGTTTTATGATCCTCTCAAGGAGCCCAGAAGAACTCCAAACAAGAATTCAATAGCTGAACTACTGCGGCATCAAAGTAGAACTGTGGAAGACACTCAAATTATGTTTAATAAATATGTGATCCCGCGACCTCTTAAAGTAAACAAACTTAGGCTTAAGGAAATGTCACTTCATGAACAACTCATTTCTGCAACGGAAAAATTAATTACGTGGAATTAACAGTTGAATGAAGAATGAAACAATTTCCGTAGATTTGAAATGCTCCTATTCTGGAAATTGCCCTTGTGGTTGAAACTGAAAATTGCTGATCATTTCTGTGCTCTCAGCGCTAGCCTATGGGCGCGAAACGTAGACCATTATATTTGAAAGCTATTCACAGACTGTAGATTACGCAGGGCGGTATGGAAAGTTGTCGGAAATAACAAGAATAGATAGGAAGACGAATGAACCGGTAATAGCAATGACAAGAGTCTATGATATCTTTGCCTCGAGGAAGAAGTTTAACTGGCAATGGGATAAACACGTTGATGAAAGAACCGACCGCCACTGGACAAGGGAGACATTTGACAGCGTTTACAGGGAGAGCAAACGATCCGCAAGAAGACTTCCAGGTTCAATGGCTATATGAGCTGAAGACATTCGTTAGATCAAGATGAATAAACATGACGCAAAACAGAATGCCAAGAATTTGAGAGACCTTCGTCCAGCAATGGATCAAAAAATGCTGATTAGTACATCGCAAATAAGCGTCGGTTATCGATGCGTCGCGTGTTCTATTCCTCTCTGAAGGAAAATTTATTCCAGAGAAGGATATTCGATGAGTATCCATACATTAATCTTGAGAAGAAGATCGGAAACCACTCTTTTACCTACTCTTGGAGGGAATATGATGGTCGACCATGTAATGTTGCCTTCCATCAGAGTAAGGAGGTAATTGGATTTATAGACGCTGTGGAAGGCTGCCGAAACCGGCACTTCTTCACTTGACTGATTATCTGATTATCAATGGACGGCAATGTTTCAATAGTATATGAGTTGTACATGAGTTTCGTTGCAGCCATGTCGAAATAAAGATTAGTTCTGTACTATGACCCATATTTCACGGCATTCTTTTTGTGATATGAGGACGTGTCATTTATTTAGCTTTTGGTATACTGTTTCCATGGTAGTGACGTATTTGACGCCACAATTTATCTTGCGACTAGCCATAATATGAACGAGTCAGCGGCGATCGACTCTGCCTACGCTTCTCAGATCGCGAGCGAAGTTTTTTTCCACCAGACAAATGAAGAATTTTCTGGGTTCCAGAAAGCAACATGGCACCCGCTGTCTGTACAATGAATTCGAAGTTCAGGTCGTCTGTCCACAACTCTGAGTTGTCGACGGTTCGATGCTATTCGTCAGAGGCCCTCGTCTGACATTTGAGGTTTCTACGCGTCTGCGGCATAACGAGCCTTGGTGACGCTTACCAACGGTCACGACCCAAATTGTTTGCACTCACCCGATAGATGACCATTGAAATTGTGTAAATAGACGAAGTACTATCGTTAATGGATTTCATGGGACGGCTGCCGATGCATCCATCGGTGCAGCCATTTGCTCAGCTTGTACTGCGGCGACTGCGCTTCGGCGCATCGCTTTCGGAGCGGCCTAAGTTAGCGAAATGCACCTTCTTCCATTGAACTATTTCGCTACACCGCCAAAGTGGCTCTATATGTGGCTCTATCGATTATCCTTTCAAACACCTTCAAAAGGGTTTTCGACAGCATTTGGCGCTTTTCGACAACTTAATTCAATTACGCGCAGAATAGGCCCCGCTCGAACCGGTGGGCGGTGACAACCGTGGCGTCGGCGATCCGGTCTTGTCCGGTAGACCACAGAGCTGTCGATCGTTAGCTGACGCATCGTCGCATTCGTGTCTCGTCACTTTGCCAGTGTCCTTCGCTGATGTCCATTTTCGCAGTCCATCGTGACGTCACGTCAATCCCTTCCTCCTGTCGTGCTGCCATGACCGATCATCGGCCGGTACGTGGTCAGCTGAAGGCTCTGCACCGATTACAGAGGCACGTACGCGTACTGTACGCAACGCACCTCTTGTTACTGCTCCTGATCACGGTAGCCCTGTACTACACATTTACGCTGTCCAGCCGTGTAGCAGTCGTCATACAGCCGCCAGCGTTGAAAGTGGATGAGCCTCGTCCTGCAGCGCCTGAACCTGAAGTCGAAATGGCCTCCGCTCAACCAACCGTCAGACACAGGCATCGAAAGCGTTCGACCACCAACACTGACATTCAGCAAAGCAAACATCGTCCCAGAATTAGAAAACCGTCGAGCCGCGACTCCTTCATACAAGCCGACAGTAGGTTCGTTGGTAATCCAAAGAAAGCGCCACATCACGTACCAGAACCTTGGCTTACCCTGCCCTCGAACGTGCAACTGTCGGTCAGTCATTTACTCCAGTCATCTCAAGTGATAATCGTAAATCTCCTCTTTTCAGGTGCGAGATCTTCAGCGTTTCTGCTACAGTTCGCTTAAGTTTTGCATGAAACTAAATGAACAAGAATATTACCAAGGTGGTAAGGTATTTTCCTCATTACTATTTTAATAGCCTATTTTGCTACTTCGCTGTCGCAGACGAAGCTATGCCTCAAAGCAACAAAATTAGAAAAATAAGTGATGTAGCACTAATTAACAGTATTTGAAACTGCTTAAATAAATCTATCAATGATTTGTGCTCAACTGATGAAAAATATTATGCGGTTTGCTACCAATCTTGATATTTTAGCGATTTCTGCCTCCCATCGGTAGCAGTACTCGAAACGTGCATCACAACTGCAATCTGTGACTCACTGATGTGCATCGGTTGTCAGCTAATTCTAACAAAATTGGCAGGAACGTTTTGACTGTCACCAGTTCATCATAATACGTAATTTTAGCAAATTCGGAGTAAAATCGGAATCACCTAACGACTAGAGAGTTGCAGCTGAACTCCTTTGTGAATTTGCTTCGTTAATCTGCGAAAAATGAAGAGTGCACGATTAGCCGTTCAATGCGAAGTTCAACACAATCTTGCTGTCTTCTCACTTCAGTAAAATTCTACTCAAATAATCTTTGAGGAGGCTGAGAGACCTTGACAAGAGAAGTTGCATCGAATAACTATGCTCTTAGCTCTGAGTCAAAAGGACCATGACGAACTTTAGCATCAGAAAAGACAGGAGAACTGTTCAATATGCAACAAGCGATTCTGCTTCTGTTTCTTGAGTAACTGTAAACGAAACAGTACAGTTACTAGGCTCTACAGCGGTAACTCTTGGTACTGGCAGAAACGATGTGTAACATGAAATTTTGACAACCCATCGTTTAACTGTTTCAAGACTGTGCAGAAAGCGGCAGTCCGCTGTCAACACCAAGCCGTCTGATTGAATGGTTCCTGGTCAAGAAGGGAATGAGCCGCTGCCATCCAACTTATTTATCGTCCAGGATGATGCAATCGCGCATTCAGCGTTCTGAGGTTATGTGATGCGACCCTCACACGGCTTTGTATTCATCGTGACGTCTTCAGTAAAATTGTAGCAGTTGTTAGAGCGAGTCAACGTCTTAGGCATTGCTATGTTTTATATTTTATCCTATGTTAATTAAGGCGATGAACGTTAATGCAGATTACATTCCAAGACGAAACAGAAACCTGAACGACACTGGACTGCAATGATTTACCTAAATACTACGCACTAGCTCTACCCAGAGAAAAGAACGTTAACGCGAAACCGATATTTGCATCCTTCATCAAAAGTAGATTTGTTTGTATCTGCTGAGGTAATCTAGTTGGGCAGTTCGTGTAGGCAGAACGTCTCTAGTTTGTGATGGCTGCCGTATGTGAAACTTTTCAAGAGGAATGATGCCTCTACAGAGGCAGCTTGTCTCTACCTTGTTTCTCCATGTTGCATGATGGCCTTCTGGTCGACATCTGTCGTGATTCAGCTCTCAACAACATGCTCGTTGGCTGGAGTAAATGGCTAATGCCGAGCCACTTTGCATAATGAGGTTAGTCTTCCTTTCTTAATTTCTACATTTACTGAGGAAGCCTGTTCTCGGAAAGAAAGAGTCATTCCTTACGGTGTTCCACCATTTTGCCCATATTATGTGTCGCAGCCAACCCTTCTGTATACAGCATATTGCCTTCTTGAATTTCGTTGCAATAACTGTCTCCATGTGGTAGAGCAGCATTGACCTGGCCGAGGCAAGGCACAGACGAACATTTGTGAAAAGGGATACTTTCAACTCTGTAAATTTATTGGATAGATTCCAATAAGCACTAGAAGCAAGGCAATCCTCTCATTAAATTCTGATGGAATGGTACCGTCGCTGATTTTGGCGGAATTGAAATACTTAAATTGGTCATACTCCTGTAATCCCGCGCTTAACTTGCAGATTTACTGTAGCGAATGGTTCGTTCGTCATTCCTGACTTTTAGGCGCTAAGGAATAGATTGACTTTCGCTACTGTATTGCATACTGAGGCTCGATTTTCGCAGTACTCACTAGGACAGCCTCATCTAATCACCCCAAGTCAGCAGAATATCTGGCCGGAGTGTTTGTTATTTGCTAGAAAAGAAAGTTCAAAACAGCAGGCATGATCAAAGACGGGCCAAAATTTTGCGAAGTAGTGGCATGCAGTAGTGAGAAAAGTGTGGAAATTCGCTAAACTCGTTTATGTGTCTTTCCAACCACATGCTGACAGATCCCACAAAAACTCATGAGCTCCATATTTTCTTGGAAATGTTGACAGTTTCCGTCTCTACTATGATTGATTTTGGCTTGCGCTTAATGTTGACGACAGGCATTATTCTGAATCCGTTCATCATCCCTTAATCCCAATTGGAACCTAATTATCGTAACGTTTGTAAGCTGAGTCGATCTCTTACAGAGTGGGTATTAGAATCAGCTGCATTTCTAATTTGATACATTCATAATTTCTAACATCAACTGCTCAATCCCGAAAAGCGAAACCACGACGAACCATTTTAATTCGTTAAATTTAACATGTGCTGCAGAACTAATGTTGTCCGTGTTCAGAGCAGTTTTGAAAGGCGGCTATTTCAAATCTTGATTGATTCGGTGCAAGAGAATTTATGGGTGTTTTACCTAAAGGTGACAAAGTAGAGTTTTGCACTGTTCTATGCATCAGGCCTCCTCTGTGGCTACCATTATCGCTGTTTACCGATAAATTTAAACATTTCAATTTCTGATACCGGATTTATTCTGCGAAAGCGCACCGCGTCTTGCCTAGAATCGTATAGGGGGCCATTTAAGCAAGCCATTGCTTTATTTGAGCACCTGGAGTGCATTGGACGTCGGACTGAATCACTGCGTTAGGCAAAACAAAGGCGCCTTCGAGCACCATTTGGATCTGCAGCCATTCGAAGGCAACTGTGCGGACAAAGCATAGCCCCGATATTCCGGGGTATCTGCCATACTCCTGTAGCTTTCCCATTCCACTGGCAATCCACAATCCCATTCCACAAGTTTTTCGTTTCTGATACCGGATTTACACGGCGTAAACGCGTTCTTGTCCAGTCCAACTCTCAGGTGCGGCTTTTCTTGTGTTCAAATATTACAGAACCGTGACCTGTTTAAATGGTCCCACTAGGCGACTAAAACAAGCCGGGGGGAGGCACTTACACCGAGTACATCCTGTATTAAAAGTTGAAATTTTATGATTACCGGCAAAACTGTACAGCTACTCTATGCTATCCTACCCAGGACCTCAGATTATGCTTGTCTGTACCAAGTAAAAATTTCATTTTTTCGTCATTTGCGGTTCGCTTTACTATGGATGCACTGACGAACAATCGTTCCCATCAATAATTGTCCAAAAATGAAAGAAATTCATTCTGTAATATTTGGGGACTGCATATTTATTCATTTTTTCAAGGGAACCAACGCTAGACAAAATCATTGCCGCTCGCTGTCTGTAGCCCTCCGATACGATTGCAAAACCCTCAAGTATGCTATAAAATTCTTCAAGCGTTTTTGACAAAATTTCTTCAATTAGGGGGGCTAATATTCTTCAGTTATTGGACTTCCTCTACTATTGTTATGGTTGCCTTGTCATTGTCATCTGAAGCCGGTAGAACTTCAGCAGCATAGTAACACAAATTTACGATATCTGGCGCTTAGAGCGAAGGTCTCCCCAAAGTCTTCTGCGTGATAGTTTAGTGTTGATATCTTTTACTGTATCGAAAAGTATATCAAACTTTATTAATGTATAGTAGCTATGAAAATGCATGCCATCTGGACTGAAGACGAATGAAATGATTATTTTATTATATAGTGCTTTCTTGGTCCAAAGAATTCACTAAACAGTGACAGATTAAATTGAACGGATTTTTAATTCTTCCTTTGAATAACTGAAACAAACGGATTGTTGCTGCGATTAGAAGTCTTCTGCTGAGACAGGTAATACCTAATCACAACCAAGATAGCTTTCCCCTGCTTAATGAGGTGAATCCAGCTGGCAGCAACCATAGTAACCAGAAAACTTAAGAAACGTTTCGCTGTATGCTCCGCAGATGTCTAAAATATTCAGAACTCCCTATTACTCAATGTAGTAACTCAATGGTGAATATTAGATGAAACCTGAAAAAAGCGAAAATTAAATTCAGCCAATAATCGCTGTGAAGTAGCAGTAAATAATGTAGAATGACCAGTGAAATCTTTGTGAAATTACTTGCACTTGTTGCATTATGGCAAAACGACGGTTGTTGTCAAAGCAACCCAGTGTTCGTCAGTTATTTCCGCTGGCATTTAAGTTTTGCTGTATTCTTAATCCTTTGATTGGATAAAAGCGCCGCAAAGTCAAGCTTTGTGTACAATCGAAACGCATGCACTTTCTTGAAGATGATAGTTTCTTGATAAAACATGTGCAAAGCAGAATTAATGCATTATCACCATGACCATTCCTTTTGTATCAACTGAACAAGTGACAGCTGCTCGTTCGTGCTATTTGCTTGGTAAAATTATTACGATAATTCTATCGCATTCATAAATTAGTGTAGGGTTGATAAGGTAATGCATTTAATCATGCTACTTCTTGCAAGCACGATTACCTCGCTGTGCCATTAGCTGACTAATTGCGCGATTAGTCTTATGCTGCAGAGAGTCAAAAGATCAAACAGATTCCGATCGATTATACGAGTGCCTTTAGCACTAGTTCATGAATTAGCTGTCATCACAAGCATGAAACGCCTTAAAAATTCGATTGTCATTAAAGAATGACGACGCACTAGATGAACACGAATTCATTCCAAAATATAACACGACTACTACATTCGAAACACTCGTGGTTTCTGACGCCCGAGGTTTCTTCGTGGTTAAACGTTCGTCGTCGTTAAAACTGTATCGAAATAAACAGCGAGCCAGTCACGGTAGGATTGTACCAATCAGCTGACAGATCAAAACTCAGAGTCAAATATGA